TGATCTGTAATCTTGCCTGAATATCCTTAACCTTTTCTTCAGTCAGCACAGTTCTCTTCGATTGCTTCTTCTTGTCACTCACTGAACCTGTGGCCCGCCACTTTTTCAGAAGCCTGTTTACACACGACTTTGTGGGAACTGGCGAGTCAGGATATTTCTGACGAAACCTACGTGCGAATTTTCTGTAAATGTTTTTCCTTGCAATAGTTTCGACAATAAACACACGCTGTTTAATAGTGAACTTCATTTCCACCGTCTGTCGACAGCTGTAAACATTCCACTCCACTTCCACAGCAAGACAAAGACTGACTGTTTAATGCAACCTCGGGTTCCGATTATGCAACCATCGGCGTAGGAGCACTGCAGTCGCGGGGAGGAGTTGCATCCGTTCTGCGGTGGTATGACTCACGGCAAATTGCAGCCGCGGCGCGCACTTGATTGTACGCACTGTATATTTAGCTCAGAAAAGTGTCAAAAATTCTTGAAGATAGCTATGCCTTGTGTAGCCGTGAATTATAATCACTTAATTCGCTTAGTGGGGTGTGGAGTCCAGCTGGGTCCACTTGGCATGGCGGCCACTGATTGCCCTATTGTACCTGCCCCAGGTGATTATGATGATGGGGAATTTGGTGGAATGAAGATTGGCAGGGGAAACCGAAGTACTCGGAGAAAACCCGCCCCAGCGCCACTTTGCCCAGCACAAATCCCACTTGACCAGACCCGGACTCTAACCTGGGCCGCTGCGGTGGGAAGCCAGCGATTAACCACTTGAGCTATGTCGTGGCCATTATGACCACTTAGTCTCCTCACCCTGCTTTGGAACAGCTATCTATTCAAAATATGTCACCATAAACATAACTGGGGGCCTTTCCATACAACAGTTCTGCTGTTCTAACAACAGAAAGAGTGGGCATATGCGATGAAATTTGGTTATAAGCCTCGCTTACCTATTAGGGTCTACTGAGACAAGAAGCAGGCAGGATCAGCACATTGTACTTCAACCTCTGTAACAGGCGTTTCATGTTTCTTATCTCTACTCTCCTGTAACAAGAACATGACATCAGGAATTTCAAAAGACAGCCCTTGGTTAAAGATAAGATTGAATACTTGACAGGATATCAGAGGGAACTGAAGGAAAAACTGACAGAACAGACAAGGAGGAACATGATATGATAGAAAAAGCTCCAATTCCATCCTTTCAAGGAGTGTACAACCAACAGGCCACTCACATGGGGGTGTCCACAACAACAATATGGATGATAATTCTGATGATAAGTTGATTCCAATTCTGCTTCAATTGCAAAAGTTTTCTACGCAGGGACTACTGATGGTTGGAACAGACAACGGTATTCATCAGTTCAGTCTTGACAACATTGCATCCCATATAAACAAAGACAGACTCCATATAATGTTTTCATGTTCTAATAGAGCTCTGTTAGTTTCTTGATGGAGGAGGCCGAATATATTTTTATTGCTAGTGGGGTGGGACTGAGTCCCTTGTACTGTGACCACTTCTGGCCTATTGTACCAGCCCCAGATAATAGGTGGAATGAAGATTGGCAGGAGAAACCGAAGTACTTGGAGAAAACCTGCCCCAGCACCACTTTGCCCACTACAAATCCCACTTGACCAGACTCGGGATTGAACCCAGGCTGCCACGGTAGGAAGCCAGTGACTAACCGCTTGAGCTATGATGCGGCCTTGGAGAAGGCCAATATGTAGTAACCAGCAATGTTTAGATACCCTTCATGATGGAACTTCTCCAGTAACTCTTATCACTGAATCTTGAATGTTTCTGTTTCTAGCGATTATTATTCAGATGGGACATGACACATGTGAGAACCAGAAAGACTGTTGCTCCACTTCTGAACAGTTGCTTTCAACTTTTTGTGGCAAAACAGTGATTTCTACACCTACCAAACAGTGACACTTCCCTTGACAATAGTGATTCAAAATATGGCAGACTGTGGAAAGTGAGAAATATTTTCAATTTGCTGAATGATGCACATTCAAAATATTATGCTGCTTCTGAATATCAGGCTGTGGACAAAATTATAGTACTTTTCAAGAGGAGGAAAATTTTCAAATATTATGTACCCAAAGAACACATACACATACTATATATTTTAGGATATAAATTCATAAATGATATGACATGTCTGGCTACTCATGTGATATAAACATGTACTTTGAGAAGGACAGGACACATGTGACTACCAGCATCACAGCAACACAAGCAGCTGTAAGACAAATGAAAGAGGAGATGGAAGGACATTGATACAGACCATATACAGACTACTTCTTTTGTCACAATCTGACAAAAAGGAAGTTAGTTGTTGCAGGGCAGTCATACATGCCATGTAACTCAGCTTGCTGCCTGCTTCTTCTTGGATCCTTGCTTGACTTATCCTCTTACTATGAAGATGTTGCCAGTGGCTCCTCCAAAATGTCGATGGACTTCTACTCATCTACATGGTATTATGTGGAAGATGTTGTTACTCTTCATAGGCTCTGCTTGCCGCTAATTCTTGCTAGCTTACCCTTTTACCCTGAAGATGGAGGTAGTAGGTTCTTCCAAAACACCGGTGTACTTCTACCGGAATACACGGTGTTACATACCAGAACATAATCCGCTTCATATGCTGTGATTGCCATATGCTTGTAGCTGGTTTCTTGCTGGACTTACACTTTCTCCCTGAAAATGGAGGCAGAACATTCCTCTGAAACATCAAGGTTATTCTATCAGACTACATAACATTACATCCCAGAAGATAGTACTCTTCAAGATTTATTTTACTTGTTTCCTGCAGGGCACTCCAGAATACTACCGAGGAAACCAGCTTATGGTCTTATAGTCATCATCAAATACAATTTAACCCTTTCTCGGCATGTTATTTTCTCACCGTTTTCCTAAATAACGCAATTTTAGGGTAAAGGATACTGTCACTTGATAGCGTGACTATAGATGGGGTTCATATTGGTAATCAGAGAGTGACTATATATGGAGTCCATATTGGTAATCAGACTTATTGGGCATTTTAACACACACCTCAGCACTACATTTTACAGGTCACTATCACACAGAGACTAGTGTTCTCAGTCACTGTCTTCATTGCCCTGCTTGGTAACGTCTTCCAACAATGGATGTTCCTCTGCTCATGGGCTCACATCCTCACAGGCTGGTGGCCATCTCACACCAACCTCCTACTTTTCTAACTGACATACAAGACTTTCCAGTAATCAAAGTCGAAGTTATGTTGCGACTGACAATCAGTCAGTCAGTCAGTCTGCCTTGGTATCAAGCTCCCATCTGGGGCCCAGACCAGATTTTTATTACTCTCAGATAGTCACAGCTTTGTTAATGTGGGGCGCCCTCTCTGACGACAAGGCAGATCCCCCATGCCAGCACAGTTACTCTCAGGTCCAAGTCCCACAGGACCCATGACCACATTTTACTCTCTCAGATTCGAGACTCCCCCAACCTGGAGGGTCAAATCCCCCAGGAACAGGGTGGCCCAGTTTTACCCCCATGCAGGGCTGTCTCTCCTGACTTCAGAATTCTGATTTTTAGTAGACATGCCAGAATACGAAAAAGAATTAACATAAGAAAAATGTATTTTCATAGTCCAGTGTAGGAAGTTGAATAATGTAGCAAAATAACATTATTGTTTCTTGATGATGACTAATCTTGAATGTTGCACTGTATACTTGTGGATGCTTGTTCTACTTAAGTCAGGTATCACAACAGTGAGGTTAAAGACAAGCATATGGTCAGTCAGGTTCTTAAAGGTTGAAACCTGTGTGTGGATCGGATAAATATAAGGCCTGTATCTTGGTGTAGGCTCTGTGAGACAGTGTTTTGTCAATTTCTTAAGTTATGTGGTGTCAGGGTGACCATGAGTGGGAAATGTAAGTAAATCCAGTGAAGACATTATGGTCAGTCTTGAGGTACTGTCACGTCATTCACTGTGACACTCATTGCCACATATTTTTATTAGTTCTCATTTCAGAGATATAATAGCATTATTAGAGGCTTTTAGGCTTCAGGATTTCTGTCAGCTGACATTTTGGGGGAACATGTCGCCTCAGTCTTCAGGGTCAAAGCATAAGCGAAGCAAGAAACCAGCAGGAAGCAGGTAGCAAACAGAGTCTCCAGAATGTCAATTGTCTTTCAACAGACTAAAAAGTTAAAGTTGTCCCTGTGCTTAACTAATTAAGCACTTCACCATGAAGGCGTATGGGGGAGCAGATGTATAGAGCCACATTTTCTTGACCTCGGCACTAGTTGGAGGTGAGAGGTCAGTTTCACGCCCCGGCCGCTTTACCCCCGGGGAAGAAGACCCTGGTACCCATTGGTTAGGAGGCTGGGCGGGCTCCACAGCTGATCTGGACAACATGAAGAAGAGGCAATTCTTGACCATACCGGGACTCAAGTTCTGAACCCCTCGGTCATCTAGCCCATAGCCAGTCACTGCACCAACTGCACTATCCTGGCTCACTTTCTACAGACTATGTGATGTTATATCCCTGAAGATAGAATTCTTCATAACCGCTGCTGTGAGAAACTCAAATTGCTTATAGGCATCTTTGTTGATGGCTTTTGTTAGCTGTAGTATTGTCAGAGGAAAGCATATATTGGTTTATCCACACCCTGATCATACTGATGGCAGAGATGGGTGTGTACATTTATTTATGTATTTATGTATTTCAGAGTGATGGCCACGTCATAGCTCAAGCGGTTAGTCGCTGGCTTCCCTCCACGGTGGCCTGGGTTCGATCCCGGGTCAGGTCAAGTGGGATTTGTGGTGGACAAAGTGGCGCTGGGGCGGTTTTTTCCTAGTACTTTGGTTTCCCCTGCCAATCTTCATTCCACAAAATTCTCCATCATCATAATCATCCGGGGCAGGCTACAATAGGCCAATCAGTGGCCGCCATGCCAAGTGGACCCAGTTGGACTCCATCCCCCACTAAGCGAATTAATATGTATTTCAGATAAGCTGAAGGCAGAAATAGCAATCAACGTGCATTTGGACACCCTGAAGAGAGTGGAGATCTTCCAGAACACCGAAGCGGGCTTCCTGTGTGAGCTAGTGCTGAGGTTACGCCCTGTCCTCTTCTCTCCTGGAGACTACATTTGTAGGAAAGGTATGTAAATAAGGTTTATGAGTTCCTGTGTGTGAACATCAAAATCATGTTTATGTTTGGGTTGGAAATGATATTACAGTCTACAAAATAAAGTCATATTGACAGAACACCTAGGAAATTGTTTCTATGATAGTTCTAAAAACTTTGGAAAACATTCATATATATAATATAATACTTCCTTTCCTTTCTTGGTCATTTGATAAGTCGTTAAGAGGGGTTGCAAACGGGAAGATGTTGGGGGATCACTCAAAAGTCCTCAACCTGAGTGCTTGTCTTCGTTTTGTGCATCAGTTAACCTATGTTCTGAAGTGGGACTAATGCAATTGTTATTGATTATTAAATAAATTGTAGTACAAACCCAAATATTTATTTAACATATTTTTATACAAAGCAGAAATATAGCAGAGATAAGAAACTTGACATATGGTGTATAAAAAATAAAACCTGAGTGTACTTTTCTGAAACAGTGATTAAACACACTCTGTATGTAGATGTAAGGAATCTTTCATTAACATAAGTTGAGAGCAGTTTCATATATTCCTTAAATGAACCCTACTTAAAAGCTGTGTCTTTTAAATTTGTTAAGCTGCTGATCTCCATTTCCTCAGGTATAGCCCTTGCACTGCCCTCTGCATTAAGTAAAATTTCAAAATATTTCAGTAAAAATTAGAAAATTAGTAAGAAACCATGTTTGAAATCATAGTCTGCCCAGTTAGGTGTTAGAGAACTTTAAGCTGCGGGTCCCGTGTCATAGCTTTACGGCATGTAAAAGAACCTCATATCTCCAAAGGAGGTCACTGAGCCAAATTAACGGACGTTTCCCGCCCAACAGCAGTCTCTAATACCTCTGGTAGATGGGGGAAGCATTATAGATACCTCTCAGCTAGTAGAGCCAGTCTCGCTGGCTGGGCGGGACTGATGGTAAGCACCAGTACTGGTAGTATATAGAGACTGGTAGAAATCATAGAGGGAAGCACAATGGACCAATACAGGTCTCAGTGCATGGGGAAACCCACCCTCTCCAATAACTAACTAACTAACTAGGTGTTAGAGAAATGTTTGTTTGTGCACAGGTGAGGTGGGGAAAGAGATGTACATCGTTAACAGGGGGCGCCTGCAGGTAGTGGCTGATAATGGTCGGACAGTTCTTGCCACACTCAAAGCTGGCTCCTACTTCGGAGAGATATCCATCCTCAATATGGGTACCGCAGGTAAAAACCTTGGTAAATATGGCTTCAGCTGCTAATTGTACATAGCTTGCTTCAGTGTTGTCTGCTGTGTCTGCATGTGATGTTTATAGTGAGCCACATACACGTGGATTCATCTGTGGGCTTGAACCATAGTGGAGGAATCTGCGGTTGATGTTAATGATGAGTCAAAGCTGTTATTGACCATGAAGTTTGTAATAAAGTAGAAACCATGTGCTTAATACACTATAGTTAAAACCTTGTGTCAGTGTGTCGATGTTATCATCAACAGTAAAGTATCTTGGACTACACCTGGATTCCAGGCTTACTTGGAAGCAGCATATAACCAAAAAAAGGAAACAGGTAGACCTAAAAGTAAAAGACATACATTGGATCATTGGAAGTAAATCCAGCACATCGCTAGATAGTAAAGTACTTCTATACAAGACCATCATAAAGCCTATTTGGACCTATGGAATCGAACTATGGGGATGCGCCAGTAAATCGAACATAGCCATAATGCAACGAAGACAGTCCAAAATACTGCGGATGATCACAAATGCACCTTGGTATGTGTCTAATCAGACCCTACATGACGATCTCAATGTACCATTCGTCAAAGAAGTCATCCAAGAAAGAAGCATAAAACATCACGATAAACTAGGACACCATAGCAATACATTACTGCAGCCCCTACTGGAACAACAACAACGAAGAAGGCTAAAGAAATTATGGCCCGCAGATCTACTTGATGGTTAGAGGATCTCTCATTGGAGGAGCCCTCATCACGACACAATAAGCACACGAGGACGGTGTTTAA